AACATGTCAGTTTCTTTGTCTATGCCAGCCATTAACTGACCAGCCAATGGCAACCCACACGCACACATGAGACCTGATAAGGTTAAAATGAATAAAAATTAAACTAAATGAATTAAATTAAAAAGTTTACTATATTAACTGATTAATAGTGAACAATCGTAACGTCAATGTGGCGTTCTTGCGACCTGGTACCAGATTTCCACTGCTACCGTTCCATGGCCCACCGTGCTGGGGAACCTCTGCTTTACCTTATACACAGAAATGTACACTCAGCACATATGCATGTAGGTGTTTTCTGTGTGACGATACCTGTAGAACGCCTGGTTCTGACAGCCTTGGCTGCTTTAAGCAATCTGTTTATCTTCCACTTTGGAGTCTTCTTTTTTCTCAGGAACAGCATGAATGACCTGAAATAACTTTTCTTCAAAGACTACAACAACAACACACACATACAAAAATAAATTATACAACACAGCGTATCTTATACACAGACTGTAATCACAACTAGGGCAAGACAAAGTCAAATAAATAAATAAATAAAATAGTAAGAAGAAGAATAGGTGGATAGGAAAAATGTGATAAACAAACGTACAGAGGTTAATACGCTCCAGAGGCCTTGATTGAAGTAGAGGGGGAGGATACCCAGCTGCTGCAGAGTCTGCTGATTCCACGCTGAGGGATAACTGAGGAAAAATACAACGTATTTATAAGGGTGGGTTTTAAATTAAAGAGCATCATTTTGTAGAAAACAGTCACAAATCACAAATGCCAGAATCACTCGTGTTTAAAAACACAGCAAGAGTGAAAACGCCATGTAAACCTTCCTTCGCACACTGAACTTGTACCACCATAAACCATAAGCACATTAGCCATAAAACTGAAAGCCTCACCCGTAAGGAGTGTTGCCAGTGAAGAGCAGTGTCTGTACAGCGGCGACCTGAGAGTCAGAAAGGTCTCCACAGTTCTTCAGTTTCTCCAGGATGAGTGGATCAGAGTTCTGGATGTAGGTGGAGTCCAGTGTGCAGGCCATATTACCCAGAACCTCCACCTGAGACCTGCTCAGACTTACACCAGATATACCCTGCAAAAGCACAGATGAGATACCAGCCAGTTCATTTGAGGAAAAAACGAGACAGATGTTCTCTGGATTTTTCTAGACCTGCATTGTGTGGTCACTGGTAGTTGAGCTGAACTGTTGATGTAACTGACTGGGTCCCTAGTGAATACAGGACCAGAAACTGGGTCTAGGAATTTAATCAAAAAATATCTGGTCCATTTTTCCAGAGGATGTAGATAAACAAGACAAAAACACACTGCAATATAACAATATTTGACATATCTCACAATTTTTGTGTTGTATTTTTTCCCTTGAGGTTCGTGAATGGGTGGGGCTAAACTGCTGTAGACTGAATGGTGGAGCTAAACTGCTGTAGACTGAATGGTGGAGCTAAACTGCTGTAGACTGAATGGTGAAGCTAAACTGCTGTAGCTGAATGGTGAAGCTAAACTGCTGTAGCTGAATGGTGGAGCTAAACTGCTGTAGACTGAATGGTGGAGCTAAACTGCTGTAGACTGAATGGTGGAGCTAAACTGCTGTAGCTGAATGGTGGAGCTAAACTGCTGTAGACTGAATGGTGAAGCTAAACTGCTGTAGCTGAATGGTGGAGCTAAACTGCTGTAGACTGAATGGTGGAGCTAAACTGCTGTAGCTGAATGGGTGGAGCTAAACTGCTGTAGACTGAATGGTGGAGCTAAACTGCTGTAGCTGAATGGGTGGAGCTAAACTGCTGTAGACTGAATGGTGGGGCTAAACTGCTGTAGCTGAATAGGTGGGGCTAAACTGCTGTAGACTGAATGGTGGAGCTAAACTGCTGTAGACTGAATGGTGGAGCTAAACTGCTGTAGCTGAATGGTGGAGCTAAACTGCTGTAGACTGAATGGTGAAGCTAAACTGCTGTAGCTGAATGGTGGAGCTAAACTGCTGTAGACTGAATGGTGGAGCTAAACTGCTGTAGCTGAATGGTGGAGCTAAACTGCTGTAGACTGAATGGTGGAGTTAAACTGCTGTAGCTGAATGGTGGAGCTAAACTGCTGTAGACTGAATGGTGGAGCTAAACTGCTGTAGACTGAATGGTGGGGCTAAACTGCTGTAGACTGAATGGTGGGGCTAAACTGCTGTAGCTGAATGGTGGAGCTAAACTGCTGTAGCTGAATGGTGGAGCTAAACTGCTGTAGACTGAATGGTGGAGCTAAACTGCTGTAGACTGAATGGTGGGGCTAAACTGCTGTAGCTGAATGGTGGAGCTAAACTGCTGTAACGGTTAATGTTGATGTAGATACTAGTGGAGTAAAAAGTAAAATATTTTAATGTAAGTGAAGGTAAAAGTCTAAATTTTCCTGACGTATTTGACGTCTTTATTGAGTGTTCTATATATAGACAGTGAACACTTTTGTTAGATACCCTCTTCATACAGATATTCTCTTTGGATGCTTTACCAGGCAGTCCTGTGCGTTCTTGAACAAGACGGCCTGTCTTTTGAGGACACCGGAGAGAACCGAGAAATCTGCTCCACCCAGAGCGCTGAAATACGACTCACAGTTCGTCTTTACCGTCGCATAGCTACAACACACAAACACATAAATCAGTCCACTAAGGTTTTAGGTAAACTACAGTTTATAAACACATTCTATACAGAACCTTTTTGAAAATGGTTCTGTATAGCGCCAATAAGGGTTTGTCTATTGTTACAATGTCAAGCTTATATAGAACCATATACAACACATTCTCCATCAATCAGAAGAATCATTTCACCATTCAGAGAGTCATTTAAACATGCAAAGGGTACTTTGAGTGTTCTATATAGAATCACTATCTTTACTAAAGAACCCTTGAAGAGCCAAGAGAGTTTACGAGTGTAAGAAAATATTGCTGCACTAACGCAACAATATCTGACTCGTTAAATGAAAATAAAAATGACATAAATTGAAGTTTAATATTGGAATCAGACCTAACATGCCTTCATAAGACACATGAAAAGCTGAAAATGTCTTTGTGTGCGTTTTACCCACCTGTAGTACAGAAGCACCTCGGAAGGTAAATCAGTGAAGCTCAGAGACGAAGTGTCTTTAATGTAGTTGTACATGCAGGTCAGCTGCAACACAGAGCACAGTGTTACGTCACATTACTGCTGTACTACAGTATGAAGCACCGTCCTGGTAGCATTTCAGACTGGACTCCGATGTGGATATTGCGTGGTGTCTGAAATACTTGATTTGTAAACTTGATTTTCTTCAGAATCATATCATATCATATATCATACAAAACACGAAGTCACATCATACTTATTAATAATGAACATCAGATGAACGAATTCATACCGATAGTAACTGAATATCAGATGAACAAATTCATACCGATAATAACTGAATATCAGATGAACAAATTCATACCGATAATAACTGAATATCAGATGAATAAATTTATAGAGTACAGCTGAATTTCAACTGTATGTACCTGAGGCTCTGTCAGGACGACCTTGTTCCTGCCTGTACGTGGTCTACAGGATTTCACCAGCTGTGTGATTTTCTGTCGTGGTAGTTTTTTAACTGAGCTGCAGGTGAATCCCTGCAGTATTGACTCTGACAGCCTGCAGGGGGAGACACACGCACATTTTATCACCTACAAACCTGTATTCTCAGAATTAAAAAGGGCAATATGATGTAAAACCTCGCAGAACTTAATGAACAATAAAAGGATTGTAAATATTTTTGTGTTGTTCACATGGTGCGTGATTACACAGGTTGTCTATGTGTGTGTAAATTGTTTGTGTGTGAGCGAATGTGTGTGTTTAACTCACTGTTCTGTATTGTCACTGGCACCGGCCACTGCACCAAGCAACAGCGCAGCCTAGGAAAAACAATAACACAGAGGTTTAAATGCATTTACTTATCAAACATACACACTCACACACACACACACACACACACACCCCGACCTGGCTAGTTCATTAAAATCGCCTCCTTGTACCCACTCCAGTGACCTTGGGTGTGAGAAAGGCACTATATAAATGAAACATTATTATTATATTATTATTATTATTATTATTATTGTCCATTTTATCAGCTCCACTGACCGTATAGTTTCACTCTGTAGTTCCACAGTTACAGACTGTAGTCCATCTGTTTCTCGGCATACTTTGTTACGCTGTTCTTCAGTGGTCAGAACCCCTATGGACCCCCACAGGGGCACCTCAGCAAAACACTGAGGTGTTTGAAAACTCCAGCAGCACTGCTGTGTCTGATCCACTCAGACCAGCATAACACACCATCACCACGTCAGTGTCACTGCAGTGCTGAGAACGACCCACCATCCAAACAGTACCTGCTCTGTGGGGGTCCACGGGGGTCCTGACCACCGAAGAAGAGGCTAACAAAGTATGCAGAGAAACAGATGGACTACAGTCTGTAACTGTAGAACTTGAAACTATATGGTCAGTGGAGCTGATAAGATGGACAGTGAGTGTAGAAACAAGGAGGTGGACTTAATGAAGTGGCCGGTCGTTGTGTATATACACTTATTTGCATATACACACATATATACACATATATGTGTGTGTGTGAGTCAGATTTGTAAAAACGCAGAACAGCACAGGTTCTGTTACCTGTTCTGGTCTCCAGCTCTTCTTGTTGATGATTGTAACATTAACAGAGGTGGGAGACGACAGTAGCACAGGTGGGATGTACCCTGCCAACGCATCCGGGACGTTCTCCACCACTTTAGTCTGATCTAGAGAGACAATCTGAAAGACAAGGTGGAAAGACAAACTTCAGCTTTTCCAAGAGTCTGACTGAATTCTGCTTACATTCGTACAGTTTACTTTACAGCGAACGTACATGAGAGCATTTATTACAAACCCTGCAGCAATGAGGCATAGTGTAATACTGTTTACTGTAAATTGAACTGATTGAATGTTAGGTGTAACGTATATGTGTGTGAATACCTTCTGGACGTATGTCTGTTGAAGGGTCACTGGTGCTGACAGAATGTTGGTGATGAACGTTGGATTCTGGGACACGGTCAGAAGCTGAACAGATGGGATTTTGGAGATTGTTGCAGAGGAAATGCCTCTAATGAGCGTACCCAGAGTCACCAGGGAGGAGCCACTGTTGATCTGTCAATCAATATCACCATCCAATCAGAATGCAGATTTTAAAAATGCAAAAAAAAAAAAATAACCTCATGTATAATGAAATGCAAATATGACTATCAGGACATCCTAGTCTTTTTGGCCTTGTAGAAGCTTTTTTCACATGGCATGAGGGTACATGAGCCCATTCTCCTGCTGCTGAACTTCTCTTGCTGCTACCCAAGTGCACTGCTGAAGCACTGCCTGTAGGGGGCAGGACTAATGTAGCTTAGCTGGAGATCCATTTAGCAATTCTTGTTTTGCACCAAAGCCCCCAGCTCATAATTCCTCTTACAGAATCATACATATTTAACTTGTGAAGTGTTTAAAAATGATCACACATGTGATGTCATGGCATGAAATGGCACGTGATCACATTTTTCCACCCGCATTATTACTTTTGTTTTTTAACATGGGATCACACATATCACATGTAATCACATTATTGCTACATGTGATGTTTTTCCCTATGTAATCATGTGTTTACCCCAATCATATTTTTCACTTGATCACTTTTTTCACATGTAAGCAGGTTTTTCACGTATTTTTCGATGTGATTTACGTTTTTCCACTTGTGATCACACGGTTTTCTCTGAAAAACGTGAGGTTTCTAAAAACAACAAGTGAAGCTAGTGTTTTGTTCTCTAAGATGAGGATAAAGTCACCCACCACTCTTATATGTTCACAAAGTACACAGGTCTATAATGTTGCAGGGTGTTTTGATGTGCAGATTGCAGTATTATTTCTTTAGAATTAGTACAGTGGCAACAGTTTGTTAATATGTGCTAGCAGATGCATGTTGAGCTTCTGTGCTTGTTTTTTTACTTGTAGGGTTCAAAGTTTAGATTTGCTTCACTCTACACATATTACTGAATGAGTGGTGATATCTGGGCTAGAATACTTCATTTATTTTTATTTAATATAGATTAACTAGTACATTAGTATAGCTAGCAAGCATAGCTGCTCAGTGGATTAACAGGCTAGTGTGATACACCGTTCCTGGACAACATTAGCATTATTATTTATCATTATTATTCATAGGGAGTACATGCATGCCTTCGGAAGTCTACAAAAACATGAAACTGGTAACAGTTACAGTAAGCTTTCTACAATGTATCAGTGTAAAGGCAGAATGCATGGATTTAGTTTGTCATTTTGATTGTACATTTGGGCACTCGTTACTTTTTTGGTTTATATAAGATAAAAATGTGTTAGAAAAAGAATCCCTGCTTCTGAATTGCAGTAAATCAAATCTGTTTGAATTTGGTCCCTTGATTAAAGATTTTAAAAAATATTTGTATGAACTATATATATATATATATGTATATATATATATATATATATATATATATATATATATATATATATATATATCTTAAATTGTGTGTAGAGTTCACTTACATAAAAGCCTGCATTAATGAGTCTCTGGATGAGAATGTTGACCTGACCCTGGTTCCAGCCTGTGATGACGCTCAGCAAAGGCAGGGTGCTGTTTATAACACTGGTAGAAGCGGCACTTATCTGGCCCTCAGTCAGACCGATGCTCTGGTTGCCAAGCGACTGGATGATATTCGTGGACAAAGTTTGTATGTTTGCCACAAGAGCTGCTGTGACCTGAACGTAGAGAAGGAAAATTAGTAACTCATAGGGTTTTAGAATGACTGATTAGAGGACCGTTCGTCAGTTAAATTGAATTTCCACCGATTTCTCGTGTAATTAAGTAGTTAAGATGTAAACACTAATCAAAGAAAGGTGTGAAATGCTCCATTCTAGAGAGTCTTTCTGTGTCAGAATTGTCCACAGTGGTAGTGGAGGGAACCAGACACCCACCTCTAAAAGCTCACATAGAACATGCTTTTAGTTATGCATTAGTTTTTCCATAGCAACGTCAGCAATGTCTTCAGATTTACCATGTTTTTGTAAGTAAGTGTTTTTGATTAGTGAGCTGTACAGAATTCATTCCTAATTTATTTTAATCTCCTCCTGGTGAGTGTAATATAGCAGCATTTAGAAGCCGATAAACAGCTCACAGCAAGAGCTAGCCAGGCCTCCACATGGGGGGTAACAGGGTTACAGTGAACAATCAGAGAAGTCCATATGCTCCCATTTAAATTCAAAACAATAGGTTTTGTGCACAGTTGTCATGTAAATAAAGTATATTTGAGTTTTATGATGCTGATATTTGATGTTCTGCTTTGGGTTTCAGTTGTTATTTTGATGCAAATATTGTATTTAGGTTTGAAAACTTGTCTGGTTCAAGCAACATAGAATTGTATTAAATTGTGTTAAATTGATGACTACACTGAATTGTTCATAAACAGTAGGTGCTGCAAACAAAGTTTGTTTTTATTTGTAGCAGAGAGGTGTGGTCTGCTAGCTTGAAAATACATTAATCTTCCTCAAATATTATTTAACAAAAACCTTAACGTGTTTGATTTTGCCCCACTCGCCTCTACATACAGGTTGTTGTAAGACAAAATAGTCTCCAAAGGAAACTAATTTTCTTATTTACCAGTATTTTTCCATCATCAACTTTACATATAAAACCTCATAAGGCATGTGGTGGTTTTCAATAATGAAATGACTGCATATGTTGGCACGTTTCTTTACAATTAACCGTTTCTTTGTTTATAAATGATAAGAAAGCAGTCTGAACTGACTGATTACCTGAGGATCGATTGCACTGCAGAATTTGTTTAAGTTCTCGAGCATGGTCTGGCGTACTGCATCTCCAAGAGACACAAATGCAGAGGCAGGCGCTCCACACAACAGCACACCTGGCAAACTACACACACACACACACACACAGACAGATAAAAACCTTTACATATCTCAAAACAGCTAGATACACGTATGGATAGATATACATACATATAGATAGATAGATAGATAGATACTTGAGGGAACTGAGGTTAGGATTCTGGATGTATAACTGTAGTATTTAGTGTGTAGAGTGGTACCTGAGGGGACTGAGGTTAGGATTCTGGATGTATAGCTGTAGTATTTAGTGTGTAGAGTGGTACCTGAGGGGACTGAGGTTAGGATTCTGGATGTATAACTGTAGTATTTAGTGTGTAGAGTGGTACCTGAGGGGACTGAGGTTAGGATTCTGGATGTATAACTGGAGTATTTAGTGTGTAGTGTGGTACCTGAGGGGACTGAGGTTAGGATTCTGGATGTATAGCTGTAGTATTTAGTGTGTAGTGTGGTACCTGAGGGGACTGAAGTTAGGATTCTGGATGTATAGCTGTAGTATTTAGGGTGTAGTGTGGTACCTGAGGGGGTTGTAGTTAGGATTCTGGATGTATAGCTGTGTGCCGTAGTATGTGGTGACGTTGGATGCAATTTGTGAATTGTTAAACAGCTGAAGATTCTCTGAGTTTTCCAGGAACACACCGATCTACAGAACACAATCAGACTCAGTAAAGTTTAAGATCAATATGTGCGCAATTATGTCTGTCTGTGTGAGTGTGTTACCTTGCTGTCTGATACAAAGGACTGGAGGTCAGTGAGGGAGATGAAGGTGATGAAGAATCCAATGTTGTTGGCAAACCATGCAGTGGAGTTCAGAAGGGCATTGGAGGAGTTGTAGCAGCGAGGAGTGCCATCTGCAATGTACACATATAAGAGACACTTCTTAGGTTAGGCTGAGTGACTTAATGTTTTGTGAGAAGACTGACAGACACAACTTTTCTTTTGAATTTCTGAATTAAAAAGTTTCTTTGCCAGTTCAACTAGCGTCAAAGGAGCCTGGAAGATGCATTGTATTTAGAATCATGCCGGTTCTGCTGCTACCGTGACGGTACCCGAGATGGCAGGCAGGGAGCTGGCCTGCTCTAAGACATTGCCACCCTTGATCAGATCCTACACTGAAGATGATTTATGAAGGGGTATGGATTGGGACAAGCCAGACAGCAATCATGGGTGGTTCAACATAACCCTGAGAAGATTCTTTCCATGGTATCTATTTTACATCTCAGCTGGTGGATCATCTGTGTGGAGTTTAAATGTGTGCTGTAATATTTGGTGATCACATATCACCCTCAGATTGCAATACCTGAGTTATTAAACAGTTGGAGATTCTCAAAGATGTCCCTTCAAAGATCAGATCTTATGCAGAAGTCCATCTATGACAAGACATAGAATGGGAAGAGCCAGACCACAAATCTCAACTCAATTGAATCAACTGTGCAGACAGTTGGGACTTAAAGCTCGAAAGACCTCCTATATCATCTTCAGATTGATGGGCTGGTTAAAAGATTCAACCAAACCGAAAGGAAGTACTATGAACATTCTTTTCTAATATTGGATTGAGGTCCCCTAAGCCTCCACAGGATTCTCAATATTTTAATCGATAAATGGGTGGCCAGTACAAGGACCTCTGAACTGAGCAGTGGTCAGTACAAGGACCTCAAGAACCTCAAGGACCTCTGGATTCAGACAAGATCGGAAGGGTTTAATGGCAGGGTTATTAGAGCAAGGATTGTTTCATTATGTTCTCCATATGAAAGACTGACTGAAGGAATATTGTAAAAAAAGAAAATAACAACCTCTGAAGGTCTCTTAAGGCACAGAAGGCATGGTATGACAAGGTACGGTATGGCAAGTCTTGCTTTCACTATTCTCTATCAGCAAACGTCTAGAAAAAAAGGCACACTACATCAATATCAGGGCCCACCCTGTGCAATGATGTGAGCAATCTAGAAAAGGGAAAAGCCACAGGTATAACACATCAACATTCTCAAGGCCTGGAAATGGAGAAGTGACTGCAATCCAGCAATGTCTATGCTGGTATGCCAGACAGCAGAGGCAGCAGACACAGAGAGGGTAGTGGAGGTTTGAAAGTTGGACATCTGTAAAGACTCAGCAAGGGTAGCTAAAAGGGTGCTCAGGAAGTATCCACACATCTTCCAGCACAGGCCAGAAAAGACTCTGCAATCTGTTCTATAGTTTTCATGTTTTAAAATCTGACCCACTCATTATCATGCAAGTCAAGGGAACACAGATACGAGAATGTGCTGCTATTGAGAAAAAAGGGAAAGTGAGAAGCTGAAAATTATAAAGAACAAGTAATTGATATATGAAAGAAAGTCATTATTTTTAATGTGTCTTGTTGAGTTTTTGGAGACTTCATGAGATCATGTAATGAGAGAATGAGAGAGAGAGAATTGCTTACCGCTACTGTTCAGATAAGCCTTTATAGAGCTGTACACATCAGCTGGGGTAAAATCAGTGCCTGAGTAATTGTAGCTCTTCCCCAGGATTGAAACCCTGCTCACAAAAATACAATCATTAGTAATTTGACGGTTTAACTGTTTTAGATAACAAAAGTGTGAATATTTGTAAAAGAATATTTTAACACTACACCAAATAAAGACTCACAGTTTCCTGTATGACAGGCAGGAGGCGCCTCTGAGCTGAGTGGGGCTGATGAGCTGAGAGCTGAGGAGGGGCAGGTACTGAGCCAGTCTTACATTAAACCACTGAGCCACCTCATCCTGAGACGAGGCGCTGAGAGCACGAGACCAAACGCACCCCAACGTCTGCCTGCCCACAGCTGCAGATCCAACTGGCTGCTGCACAGAGAAACAGAGGGAGGAAAAAGAGAGAAAGAGACAGAAAAGAGAGATTAATATTTGTATTAATACATTAAAGAACTATAAGAGAAGGAAATAAATTGAGAAACAGCAGAAATGAATGAAAGAAAAGCTGTACCTTCTCCAGGTACTGGTTGGTGCTGTTGTAGTTGTTGAGGAGTGTGCAGAGATCTGACCCGTTCCTGACTGTGTTCGGCCCATTCAGAAACTCATACAGTTCTCCTGGAGAGATGGAGCCCAACAGCTACAGAGCAGAGAGGAAGCAAACATTATTTATTCAGTCATTGCTTATTATACTGACAAGCAGTGCTACTGTATCACATTTTGCTGTTATAATGATGGACTCATAAACTGAAAAGACTCTAAATCCTGCATTTTCCTCAGCAGTACCTCTTGCTGTCGGTTGGCTGGGATGAGGGACAAAAAGGCACTCAGATCAGGAAATCCAAAACTGAAGAAGGAGTTCTTGATGAAGGCATAGAAGCTCCCTCCACCATAGCAACCCAAACCATTCGGCCCTGTGGAGCATAAAACAACATAACAATCAAAACGCTGTGTATTTAAATGTTTAAATTTACATTATATAAGCCTGAGAGTGTGCATGTTATACCAGTGAGCAGCTGCTGGATGTTGCTGTAGATCTGAGCCTGTGTATCATTGTTGAGAGATGATCTCACAGAGTCCAAACTGCTCACTCTGTTACAGCATAGGAAGAAGTTCATCACAGTCATGCTACACAACGCAAAACAGGCACCACACATCCTTTCACTTTCACTTTTTACATAACCTAATGATGTTCTTACGCTGTCTGGATGACGTTGCAGCTCCTGCCTCTGGTAATATTGAAGTATGGTGTTACATCTGCAGCAGAGAGGCTTGACAGGAGAGGTTTGAGCCGAACATTCACCCACTGCAGCACTTCTGAATCAGGTATTGCTGCAGATGACAGCCCACCTCTCAATAGAACAGCCTGGAGGAAAGCTCCCTTCACCTCACTGGAGTACAGTGACGCATTCCGCTGAGAAAAAGAGATTTCATCACAAAAGAGGAGAAAAATTTAGAAGTGCATATAAATATCCCCAATAAAGTAAAGACTGAAGCGCAACTGAGTTGAATTCAGATGGGCTTTGTCTGGTTCTGCTGAATTCAGGAAGGATTTGTATGGGTCTGTTGAATTTGGATGGGATTTGCCTGGTTATGTTGAATTTGGATGGGATTTGCCTGATTCTGCTGAATTCAGAAAGGATTTGTATGGGTCTGCTGAATTTTGATGGGAATTGCCCCAGTTGTCACTATGAAGGCAAATTCATTTAGCCCCTTCCTACACAGAAACACTAACTGAAGGTAAAAATACCTGTGCCACATTGGATCACACAAACTGGTCACTCAAGTGCAAACTTAAAGAAATGTTGGTATGGGTGGTGGTCTACTGTTTACCATCGCAGTGGAATTACTATGATTTGAATAGTTAAGTAGTAAATACCAGGATGTTAGGAGAGACGATGTCAAAGAAGGAGGCAAACTGGTTTGGGCTAATGGCTGCCATCACAGTCTTTACATCCTGAGGGCCATGGAGTTGAGAAGGTATGGAGCAAAGCTCTTCCAACTGTGATGAAGTTAGAAACCCTGTTGCATTCACCTGACAGAGAGAGAGAGAGAGAGAGAGAGAGAGAGAGAGAGAGAGATGTGGGGTGTAAGAATATTACATATTTCACAGGTCACTAGTTAATAGACGTTTTTCGGTTACTAAAGTGTAGAATCTGGCATCTGGCTTCATTTGAAGAACAATCTCCACTCTCCCTTACTGCACCGGCAACAGACCTACAGGCCCAACCAGATACTCCGTAAGATTACAAAAGAGGCAGAACCAATTATAATCTCTTTTTTAGCTAGAGGGCAGGATGTTTGCCTAGAGATGAAACCTGTGCACAGATATGGGAGGCAAGGGGAACACATCCCCCACTTATTTTCAAAGAAATGTTCATTTGATCTGCCCACTTTTTTTGTCAAGAAAATCCTGTCATGAAGTCAAGATGTTCACAGCCACTTTAAAATCTATGTTTTCTGTAAATCAGAGAAGAAGATGTTGGTGTAGACCAGCCAATCTTGTTCCTGGACAGGCCTGTTTTGCACCACCACATTTGGAGAGCCACTGTATGTCAACTGTTGTTTCATCAGAATGTAAGGTAAACGTTGTGTAACTCACTCCGTTAAAGTCAGGCTTCAGACGGATGATGTCAAAGAATGAGGCGAAACTCCTGAATTGGCCAAAATTCTTTACCAGCCAGTCAGAGTCATTGCTCACTGACTGCACACAGGACTGACCTGGAACACCAGAGTTTATTAAATACACTGTAAAATAGCAACAGTCACAAATCAGCAACTCAAAAAAACAACAACAAACCAACCTTGGAGGTAATCCACTGTGTAACTGAAGACAGTTTTGGACTGTGTTGTAGAGAGATCACTGTACACGTTATCAAGTCCTTTCACTCTGCAAACCCAATGAGTGTTGAAGTGAATAAAATTGGTTTCCCAAAGATAAAACTGCATTCATAAACACGCATATGCTCATATAGAGTGTGTGTAAGTAGAGTAGGAACTCACATTTCTCTGTAGGAGTCACAGCTGATGTTCCTCGGAATGACTGACAGGGAGCTTGGGCCAATCCCAGGAAGGAAGAGACGGAGATAGGTCTGGAACCACAGGGCAAAGTCCTGTGGGCTGAAGGTCTGGAATTGGGATCCCAGAGCTGCCAGTGTCATGTTCAGAATGGTTTCAGATACTGTTGTAGGAATGCTGGTCATGTTCATCTGAAAACAAACAGCATTTATGGGTGCTGAAAAATACCTGGAATGTCAAAACACTGGATGCATTTAGTCAAACAGTTTCTTTGTTGTTAACCTCTTCCTCCAGGCCTCCTAGTGGCCATTCCACTTACAGAATTGAAATTGCATGAAATAATTTTTAATTTATGTAAACAAATAAAATATTTGTACTCATAGCACACAGTTGTCTATCTCTGTGTGAAATTGTGTAACTCTGTGTTGAGCTGCTATTGAGCAATGAGGGGTGAAAAAAATTAAGGGTTTCCATGCAGATTTCCATTAAAATATATAACATCAATGTAACTGAAGGAAAATGCAAAGTTCAACGAAGGGGCACAAAAACAAGTAGTATGCAGATTACCATAGATCAAACAGATACTCACCTGTACTGCACTCTGGCTGAAAGCTGTAAAGAAGCTGCCGAGTTGTTTCTGATCTGAAGACTTGAGCACACTGCTGAACACCTCTCTAACCTCATTTTCCATCACTCCTGAGCCCGGCTGCAGGATCAACCGTGCCTTCTGTTCACCAGTCAGTACGTCTAACACAGCCAACTATAGGACAAACCACGAGTGTTACATATTCTGTAGCCATGGGGAGGATAGTCCACAAACTGGGATTTCTGAGAAAAGCTAGATAATGTAGGGTACATTTTGACTGTTCAACAGGAAAGTGTTTGATTTTGGGCTTAAGGTATGTAACTCTGTGTTATTTATCCTTTGTTGAGCTAACACACAGGTCTACTGAATTGAGCTAAAAGACAATGTAAGGATAACATCTCTCCTCAGCACGATCTTGTTTTGAACGAGATGTAATGTGAGCGGATTTACCCCAGAAATGTTGAATTGCGTCAGCTGAGAGTAGGACACATAGCTGGAGAAGTAGCCAAGGTTAACAATGAGCCACCGTGCATCTGTCCAGTTGTTCGCTTTGCAGGCTGCATATGACAAATAAATACTATGTTAGAAAAGCAAGTGGTGTGGAAATATTGGCAATAATCCAGACTGACTGAATAGAGCATACCTTGTTGATTAATTTGTTGTATGGATCGCTTCAGGTATGCCACCAGAACAGCCCCAAGTTCCTGTTTTCTATTTTCTGGCATTTTTGCAGAAACATTACTTAATGCCTCAACACTGATAGGAAAAGAGAGAATACAATTTAAAACAGCAACCAAAAGTACAGAGGCACAAACATACAGAAGAAGACAACATATAGTTTTATCTTATTTAAGTCGGTTATATAAAAAAATGTCTCTTGAGATTGTCAACTCAATATACCTCTGTACCTAATATGCTGCAATACCTTGTACAGTAAACTGTAATTTGTAATCCACCAATGTTTGGTCAACCGATAACATTTGATTAATTAACTGGAAATCTGCAATTTACCACAATTAACCTCAGGAAACAACATGATTATCTAGTTAATTAACAAGCTTTGTATTTGTTAATCTGGAACTTAAACTAAGGCACTTACATTACATGGTAGTTGGTGCAATTGATGTTTGCGGTTGCATTAATGAGCATCTCTGCAGTGAAACTGGGGAGGACACTGATTAGGTTGACCTTAAACCATCCAATCCAGTCAGAGGTCTCAAACTGCGAGAACCTGATGCTGATGATCTTGAAGGTTCGATTCATCATCACATCTCTCACAGCAGGGATGATATCATAAACCTGCAGAGAAACAGCCCCAGAAAAGGGAACAATGTGAAGCTATTTGAAGCTTCAGGTCAAAGTCTCCTAATGACAATCAATTTTATGCTACAGTTTTCAGTTTAAATGAGTCAGTTACCACTTGAGCAGTGAAGGTTGTGAAAAACGTATACACGTTCGAGAAAGCATCGCCTTTCTCTAGCTGATCAAACACCAGGTTGATCTGACTTGTGCTGTTCAGTGCTCCAGAGCTCAGAGTGAGTTCAGCTGCTTGGCTAGGGGTCAGCAGGGCCAAAGATTCAAACTAAAACACAGAAAGCAAATTTTAGTGCCTATAGCCGCTAGTCATAGTCAAATGCATCACAATCTATATTTGTTATTACTCACCCTAGAGAAATTTGCATTTAGAACTTGAAGCTGTTTCAAGGTGGCATAGGTGGAGAACTTGCCAAAGTTCTTAGATAGCCAGTCACTGCTGCCGGAAGTTATGGAACCACATCTAGGACCTAAGAGATCGTAGCAGGTAAAGTTATCAGAACGTTACTGAGGGAATTTCAGTTCATTTCATAAAGCAGAATAAAAGTCTTCTCTTAACAATAAAAGAGAAAGAGTACAAGTGTTGATTTCAAGTACCTGACAGATCGGTTCTTGAGAGGAACGGATATATGAAATCACTGTAGATGGACCTTTTTTGTTTCTCTTCCATGAACGGTTCTTGTGAACTAAAAGCCTCCACCCTAAGTTAGATGAGTAGAGGTCAGGTCTTGTGACAAATTCTGTGATTTGTACAACCTTCATGCCATAAATCCTGTGGTGTCCATACTTACACAACTTGGTAGGTCTGACAGCTGAAGTTCTTGGAACTGAGAATAGAGAGAAAAGCTGTGGACACTGATGACAAAAATGGTCTGAGTCTTGTCTGGAACCACTTGGTGATGAAAATGACATCTGTAAGCTGGGCAGCACTAAAGTTGTTGACTATCACCTCTCCGAATGCATCAAGGACATATGGGTCAGGAATATTGATGTTAAGAGTCTAGAAAAGATTAGAAAAATATTTCCATGTATGATTGCAAAGTAATGTTTATTTCTTATTTCACTATTAAGCAGCATTCTATACCTTGTTGGAATACTTATCCAGAGCTTCATCCAGAGGTGCTGCAAACTTTTGGAAGAAAAGTGTCCAAATTTCTTTTGAGTTGGCCATGCTGCTTGTTAGTTGGCATGTCAATAACGTGACTAGATCATCAGATGAAAGAGTAGCAACCTTGAAAGCAAAGATAAAAAGAAAAGTTTATGTGATCTATAGAGAATTTGCTATGTAAATTTATGGAACCTGGGGAGAGGCATTTTGCATCTGGTTCATGGAAGACTCACTGATGAACAGGCATAGTTAGAGATGCGGAAGTTGCAGAGCACTGCAGACATATTTCCAGCCAAGATCTGAGTCTCAAGTAGATGACTGTGGATGAAGAGTAGCATTGTATTATGAATCTTTCAATAAAATTAATACAATATTTTTTTTCAATTTTAAAAACACAGCTCACCTATTTACACCTTGACACTGTGGTGCTGTGGTAGTGGAAATGGCAATGGTAGTAGTGGCAGTGACACCTATTTTGGCAGAAGAGGGGATTCCAGTGGTGTAGGTCGTGATATTGGCTGTGGCAATGGGAGGGACAATGGTGTTGAGGATTGCAGTGGTGGCACTAACGGTGATGTTGACATTTTTAGTTGTGGTGTTAACAGTGGTAGTGCTGACACCAGCAATGGTGGTGTTGGCACTAGCAGCGGGAGTGACAGTGGTGTTGTGGATTGCAGTGGTGTCACTGATGGTGGTGGTGTTGACAAGGCCAGTTGTGGTATTGAATGTGGTAGGGATAACAGTAGCCATGGTCATGGTAGTGTTGGCACTAGCAGTGGGAGTTACAGTGGTGTTGAGGATTGCAGTGGTGGCACTAATAGTGGTGTTGTCGACATGGCCAGTTGTGCTGTTGAATGTGGTAGTGCCAACATTAGTCATGGTCATGGTGGTGTTGGCACTAGCAGTGGGAGTGACAGTGGTGTTAAGGATTGCAGTGGTGGCACTGATGGTGGTGTTGTCGACATGGCCAGTTGTGCTGTTGAATGTCGTAGTGATAACACTAGCTATGGTCATGGTGGTGTTGGCACTAGCAGTGGGAGTGAAAGTGGTGTTGAGGATTGCAGTGTTGGCACTGATGGTGGTGTTGTCGACATGGCCAGTTGTGCTGTTGAATGTGGTAGTGATAACACTAGCTATGGTCATGGTGGTGTTGGCACCAGCAGTGGGAGTGAAAGTGGTGTTGAGGATTGCAGTGTTGGCACTGATGGTGGTGTTGTCGACATGGTCAGTTGTGCTGTTGAATGTGGTAGTGCCAACACTAGCTATGGTCATGGTGGTGTTGGCACCAGCAGTGGGAGTGACAGTGGTGTTAAGGATTGCAGTGGTGGCACTGATGGTGGTGTTGTCGACATGGCCAGTTGTGCTGTTGAATGTGGTAGTGCCAACACTAGTCATGGTCATGGTGGTGTTGGCACTAGCACTGGGTGTGTTAGTGGTGTTGAGGATTGCAGTGTTGGCACTGATGGTGGTGTTGTCAACATTGCCAGTTGTGCTGTTCAATGTTGTATTGATAACACTAGCTATGGTCATGGTGGTGTTGGCACCAGCAGTGGGAGTGACAGTGGTGTTGAGGATTGCAGTGGTGGCACTGATGGTGGTGTTGTCGACATGGCCAGTTGTGCTGTTGAATGTCGTAGTGATAACACTAGCTATGGTCATGGTAGTGTTGACACTAGCAGTGGGAGTGACAGTGGTGTTAAGGATTGCAGTGGTGGCACTGATGGTGGTGTTGTCGACATGGCCAGTTGTGCTGTTGAATGTGGTAGTGCCAACACTAGCTATGGTCATGGTGGTGTTGGCACTAACAGTGGGAGTGACAGTCGTGTTGAGGATTGCAGTTGTGGCACTGATTGTGGTGTTTTCGACATGGCCAGTTGTGCTGTTGAATGTCGTAGTGATAACACCAGCCATGGTCATGGTAGTGTTGGCACTAGCAGTGGGAGTGAAAGTGGTGTTGAGGATTGCAGGGGTAGCACTGATGGTGGTGTTGTCAACATTGCCAGTTGTGCTGTTGAATGTCGTAGTGATAACACTAGCTATGGTCATGGTGGTGTTTGCACTAACAGTGGGAGTGACAGTGGTGTTGAGGATTCCAGTGGAGGCACTGATGGTGGTGTTGTCGACAATGCCAGTTGTGCTGTTAAATGTGGTAGTGCCAACACTAGCTATGGTCATGGTGGTGTTGGCACTAACAGTGGGAGTGACAGTGGTGTTGAGGATTGCAGTGGTGGCACTGATTGTGGTGTTGTCGACATGGCCAGTTGTGCTGTTGAATGTCGTAGTGATAACACCAGCCATGGTCATGGTAGTGTTGACACTAGCAGTGGGAGTGAAAGTGGTGTTGAGGATTGCAGGGGTAGCACTGATGGTGGTGTTGTCAACATTGCCAGTTGTGCTGTTGAATGTGGTAGTGATAACACTAGCTATGGTCATGGTGGTGTTTGCACTAACAGTGGGAGTGACAGTGGTGTTGAGGATTGCAGTGTTGGCACTGATGGTGGTGTTGTCGACATGGCCAGTTGTGCTGTTGAATGTCGTAGTGATAACACTAGCTATGGTCATGGTGGTGTTGGCACTAGCAGTGGGAGTGACAGTGGTGTTAAGGATTGCAGTGGTGGCACTGATGGTGGTGTTGTCGACATGGTCAGTTGTGCTGTTGAATGTGGTAGTGCCAACACTAGCTATGGTCATGGTGGTGTTTGCACTAACAGTGGGAGTGACAGTGGCGTTGAGGATTGCAGTGTTGGCACTGATGGTGGTGTTGTCGACATGGCCAGTTGTGCTGTTGAATGTCGTAGTGATAACACCAGCCATGGTCATGGTAGTGTTGACACTAGCAGTGGGAGTGAAAGTGGTGTTGAGGATTGCAGGGGTAGCACTGATGGTGGTGTTGTCAACATTGCCAGTTGTGCTGTTGAATGTCGTAGTGATAACACTAGCTATGGTCATGGTGGTGTTTGCACTAACAGTGGGAGTGACAGTGGTGTTGAGGATTCCAGTGGTGGCACTGATGGTGGTGTTGTCGACATGGCCAGTTGTGCTGTTGAATGTCGTAGTGATAACACTAGCTATGGTCATGGTGGTGTTGGCACTAGCAGTGGGAGTGACAGTGGTGTTAAGGATTGCAGTGGTGGCACTGATGGTGGTGTTGTCGACATGGTCAGTTGTGCTGTTGAATGTGGTAGTGCCAACACTAGCTATGGTCATGGTGGTGTTTGCACTAACAGTGGGAGTGACAGTGGTGTTGAGGATTGCAGTGTTGGCACTGATGGTGGTGTTGTCGACATGGCCAGTTGTGCTGTTGAATGTCGTAGTGATAACACTAGCTATGGTCATGGTGGTGTTGGCACCAGCAGTGGGAGTGACAGTGGTGTTGAGGATTGCAGTGGTGGCACTGATGGTGGTGTTGTCGACATGGCCAGTTGTGCTGTTGAATGTGGTAGTGCCAACACTAGCTATGGTCATGGTGGTGTTTGCACTAACAGTGGGAGTGACAGTGGTGTTGAGGATTGCAGTGTTGGCACTGATGGTGGTGTTGTCGACATGGCCAGTTGTGCTGTTGAATGTCGTAGTGATAACACCAGCCATGGTCATGGTAGTGTTGACACTAGCAGTGGGAGTGAAAGTGGTGTTGAGGATTGCAGGGGTAGCACTGATGGTGGTGTTGTCAACATTGCCAGTTGTGCTGTTGAATGTCGTAGTGATAACACTAGCTATGGTCATGGTGGTGTTGGCACTAGCAGTGGGAGTGACAGTGGTGTTAAGGATTGCAGTGTTGGCACTGATGGTGGTGTTGTCGACATGGCCAGTTGTGCTGTTGGATGTCGTAGTGATAACATTAGCCATGGTCATGGTGGTGTTGGCACTAGCAGTGGGAGTGACAGTGGTGCTGAGGATTGCAGTGGTGGTAGGTATCGTTGTGGGGTCAGGAATACCCCCCTGCAGGTCAATGTTCAGGGTATTTAAATCAGATTGTTTCTGGTTAGCCACCCAGGCCTGAATCACAGAGGAGTTCTCAAACTGCTTCAGATAGACAATGTTTACCCCCAGTAGATCATGCACTGTAGTCACATTCAGGGCCTGAAACACATTTTTTTCAGTTAAAAGCTCAGTTCTTAGTCTATTTTATCTTATGTCTTGTTCCTTAATATGTACAGTTTAGTTTGTTATTTAGCAGATATGTACCTTAACAACAGCAAGGTTCAGACTAATGAAGGTGAGGATGTCCATGCTGATGTTCTGAGTAGAAAGAGCTTGTATATCTTGAAGAGGAGCTCCACCTTAATACACACAAATATGTGGGCATAAACAGAAAAATTAAACTGAATGCATTCTCTCTGTTTCAAAGCTGAGAAAATAGCACAGAGAATAACATGTCACTTGAATTCACCAAAAAAAAGAAAAAGGTAATAAATTAGTGAATTGCACAACATATATTTACCCCTTTTTACAGTAGCTCTAAAATGTTCTTGTTATGCAAGTGTCTATGTTTTTGAATGTTAATAATTTTGTTTTTAAATTATGAAGCCCTTGTTGTCTGACATCCTATACTTGACCACTGTTTTTTTACTGTTTTTTGTTAATGTGTTTCTTTGGTAAAGTTTTTGTTGTGTTAGAAAAAAGGCTGCTAGTTCATTGTACTCTCTGCATTGGACTCACAACTATTCCATCCCTATCTGTCCATTTACATGGCAATCATAAGAGCATATGTTGTTATCCAGAGCAACCTAGAAATGGTAGGCAAATTTAGCATTATGAGTCTTGCCCAATGATTCCTGTTGGCATAGCAGGAGAATCAAGCCTTTGTGTCGGGCAATGGTGTTATCCACTAACCTTTCCAAATTTTATGCAGGCACTCACATCAGACAATCTATAACAGCAATTTCAGCTCTCATCGCATTTGTTGAGACAAAAAAGCCAGAAGCTCTGTTGATACAATGTACTATCAACTACCCAGCAGCATTTACAAAGCTGATATTGGTAACTGCTGTTTGTGATAATGAGGACATGGTCCCACAGGCACGGCCAGCACAATCTGTGCTGGACTGAGAGTGGTTGTCATCAGGAGACCAAAGGCCCTGACAAGACAATCCCTGTTACTGCTGTGGAAGTCTTGGCACATGACACACCAATGCCCAGAACCATGGCCTACCATAAAAGGAGAAGAAAGACCCAGACGCCAGAGTAAGGGGAACACCACATAGTGAGGTCACATCATGATCTCAAAACAGACCAGCCTTTAGTTGACCTGAGGAATATTGGGCATGTTCCCTAGTATGATACTTTCCCTGCCTCCCCGGGCCAACTGCTTAATGAAGAGACAGACTGTTCAGAGAACCATGGGAACCAAGCATTGGCTCTTCAGATGAGGATAATCATCTCTAGCCTGGACAAACCAGATTTGAGGGAGTAAAAAAATCCCTGGTGTAGCACACACAGTGAGAAATCTTTCAAACTAACCACAATATGCATCGTAAGGTTGCTAAACTGCCCAACAGGATTCCAGAACAACTGCCACTAATTCAAATGCTACTGAATTCCTTGATTAGCAAGATTGGGTGTCCTGAATGAGGACTGAAACTTGGTGGTAGGGTGGTAGGTTTTAATTAGAGTTAGGCAATTGTGTTTCTTACCCAGGTAAGGGCTGATGAACTGGTAGTATGTTGCAGGATTGCTGCGCTGGGTGCTGAATGAGATGTTGGCAATGAAGTACAGAGCTGATTTCTGATCAAAAGAGCACGAGGATATGTTGAAAGCATTCGCATTCCTGCATTGAGAAAAGAGAAACAGGTACATGTGACTGCACAGATCACAGTGCATACAACTTGAAGATATACCTTAGATAAAGAAAGCTCTTTATTAGCATGTGCATAAAGTGCAATTATATTCTTACTGTCATGTTGTTTCCTGCAGATCTCAACAATATAACACAACAGTAATGCAATAAAAAAATGACCACTAAACAGGATTAAACCCAAGACAGGACAGTATTACATACAAACATAGTGTGTACAAGAACTGCTTTCGCATGGTCATTTTAAGTTATGTGTTCTCTAGCATTATTGCACTTGGTTCATTTTGCTATAGACTCTGATCGGAGAGGGAGGGCTAGGAACTTCCCCAGAGGTGTGTGTATGTGTGTGTAGTGAAAGAGAGAGAGAGAGAGAGAGAGAGAGAGACCTGAGCTGGGGGAGAGAACGAGTTGTTAAAGAAAAAGAAGCTTTGCCTGGTGTACGTCATGGCTGTGTTTGACAGCTAGAAAATATAACGGCATGACTTGTGCGAAAGCTGTGTCTCCTTTAATAGCAGTGAGCACTACAACACATTCAGTACACAGTACCCACAGTAAATGTTTGACATCATCAACACAGTCAATAAAATGCATAGTCAATAAAGTGATAATGCTCATTCAGCTGAAATATATAAGTAAAGCCCTATTTAAGCTGGATTAGTATTACATGAGGACCTGCTGTAATTTGAAATGATTACCAACAAGCTCCATGATTTTAATCCAGTATGAATCTGCCACGTCTGTAGTTTTCACAAGTCTGCTAAGCAGTAATTCTGAAGTGAATTACCTCCTATAATTTGCCAAACTCAGAGCTCCCACTGTAAGAGTAGTGCTGCTCGAATCCACATCTCAGTAATGCAATACAACCTCGGGTAATAGAAAATGGCGCCTCACTTTATATAATAATTATACTTTATGCAGCTAACCAACTAAATTACATAGCTAATCTAGCTAACGTAGTTAACCACTAACACTTAAATGTTAGTTTCGGTGTCTTATCTTCTCTCAGTGTATGGTACAATACTTTGGATAGGGTGTTTTCGAGTGCTAAATGTTTTTCCTGATGGTTGTGTATCTTTTTTTTCTTTCCTTTTTACAGGTTGGAACAAACATGACAGAACATCTGCAACAAACTGAAAAGAAGCTTCCCTATTAATAAAGATGAAATAAATCTTAATTTTTAGACCTTTAAATGTTTACAGTTAAATTTAATAACTTGTCAGTATTGAAATACTTCGGTAATTTAATATTGATGTTATTAAAAAGAAGGTTATAATATAAAATGTAAAAAAGTAAAATGTCAGACTGTAACCCAACAAAACGGTCAAAACAAATCGAATCCTGGGTCAAATTAACCCAGTGAGTGTTCTGTTATGTAGTGACCCAGTGTTGGGTTATAGATATGGGTTATTTTTAACCCTGCATTATTTTGGGTCTATGACAGAAGTGTACAACTCATTCAAGCAGAATGATAACAATACATATTGCAGTTGTATGTACAGTGCATGTGGGTGCCTAGAGCAGTTTCACATCAACAGCACATGCAAGTGAACAATGATCCAAGCATATATACTTGTGTGCTTGTGTACTTACTTCAGGCTGTCAGCAGTGATGGTTTTAAGGACACTGACATCCAAGGAACAGAGGTTGGAGCCGATTGCGTTTAGTTCAGCAGTTCCCAGGGTGTTACCAGCCACACTCAGATACCTCATAATCACTGCAGCACTCTACAACACACAATCACAAACACATTCTTTTCTTTTTACAAATTTAAAGAAAAGCAAGAATTCTATCCAGGTTCCAAAAGCTAGGCTGCAGTCTAGATGAGCTGCATTTCTAGACAGCAAGCCTGGGCCATTTACATATAGCTGGGTAATGCAGCTACATATGGACAGTCTGATCTGAAAGAAAGTTGAAACCAACTACTGCATATTAGTTATAAGGGTCAGAAAAATTGTACAGTAAAATATATGGTATGTCATTTCTTTAGTTGTCTATCTGTCTAAGTTGATATAAATTGAATTCAGGATATGTAATGCACCTGCTTTCAGTGGGTTGAATAGCGTTTAGCTTGTAGGGTGGCATTTAATTGCAAACAACTTACTGTTTTGCTTGCAAGTTTACTTTTATTAGCTAAGTTTCTATTGTCTTTCTATGCAAATTGCAAGCGATAAAATGAAAACACCTTTAAAACATTTTGATTTTTGCTGCCCAGCAGCTTCCATCCTTTACACTTCCACCTCAATCCATATGTACACCTACATCAACAAACCTTTTGGAACTTTTTTGCCTTTGGATGGAAACATAGCTGTTCACATCAACAGTAGTTTCTCAGTAAAATTTGACATCTTTCTTTTTAATGAAAGTGACAAATGAAGTGACAAAGTCCTCCAGACTGCTGAACAGATCTGCCTGATGGACCTTTAAATATTCTCACCATGCTACCTCACCCATACTACTGATTTGTTCTGCTGCACTTTAACTTCCGCACATGTTGTGAAACTTTAATCTCCCTCACTTTTGTATGCACAGCCACTTTAATCTGTCTGCAGTCTTATTAATCTTTGTGGTTGCATTAAAAAAACTATTGTTAATTATAAGTGCATTATTAAACAATACATGCACAACTAGGGGTGGGAATCTCTAGGCACCTCACGATTCGACTCGATTATGATTCAGAGGGCTGATTGTAAAACCATTATCGATGCATCTTGATGCATCTTTTTTTTTCTAAACAGCATTTCTATTTTCTCACTGTGTGAGGACTTTTAAAGCAAAGCATTTGTAATGATCCATAATAAATATATTTCCAATATCTTTTATTAATAAAACAAATGGAACGGATGTGACAGGTGAACTGGAAGACTCTCATTCAGTGCTCTTGTTTGGAGCACATGAGACGCTGCTGCCACTCATCTGTGATAAAATACGTTGTTACAGTGAAATAAGATCCTGTGGCAATAGATGCCCACGCAGCACATGTTACAGCTGCCCATATATTTCTTTATTTTGTTGCTTTTGTAACTTCGGTTTTGGTCTCGTTGTAGAGAGTGGGGGGATCGCTCTGTCAGTAAAATATGTTCGAGACGCGACGCTGTATCTCGGCTCCAAAGTCCACAAAATAGTGCGAAAGCCCTGATTCTCAACGACTGAGAACTGGCGTGCAGACTGGAGGTCACATAGCAGCGCAGTCTCGCCTTGCTAGTAGCTACGAAAAGGCAAAGACAGATTTAAGACGAACATTTGGAGACAAATGGACTTATTCGCGTTTATAAGCAGCGCAGTTGGTTTCCTGAGATGTTAAACCTGTCAAACACTAAAAAGTGGCGAAGATGAAGTCAGCATCTCTTTCAAATTCTCCCGTTCCACCCTAAATGGTGCCGCATTTACATTCTGGCACCTCAGGCAGAATTTAAGGTGGAACGGAAAAATTCTAACAAGAAGCTGGAGAATAAGAAGCGACTTCAGCCTCATAAAACAGTCGAACGCTGAGAGACATTTTACAAGAAACTGATCAACTTCTGAGGAGAATTTTCCTGGTGGAGATGGGAGGAAAGCGGCTACAGCTAAAGCTTAAAGCAGAGCGAAGTAAATCCGCGTTCTCGTTTATATTGTTTAGTCTATACTAGGACATTAACACACACTGAGACATACTGGACATTAAATGTTGTGGCTCCCAAGGTGGTTTGATTTTTGTTAAAAGGTCAAAATGGCTCTTCTTATCATTTGGGTTGTGACTCCTGACCTAACCTGGCTTTAATGCAGAGGGAGCCGGTCGGATTTCTCACTCATCCAGTAGTGTTTTTGTTATGTGCCGCCACAGACTGTCCGGGCGCTGCACTTACCCACTTCTAAGTTCCGCCTTTTGCATTCCGTCAACATTACGGTATAAATAAAATATTTAGAAAATCGATTTTTGTTTTTTATTTTTTGTTTGTGAATCGATTCAGAATCGTTCACGTCTGCATCACGATGCATCTAAGAATCGATTTTTGCCCCCACCCCATGCACAACTATTACTGCTGCTGCGGACCAACATCTCATCTGATCTTTTCTCTACTGTCCTATGCTTAATGGTTGAATTGTTGTGTAGTTATTGTGTATTGAACAGAAGAGTTTACTGTGTAGTTTATGGGTATTTATTGTATTTATTGTCTGTCTGTTGATGTTCTGGAAAAACTCAATTTCTTTCCTTTTTCAACACATCTATGATTAGAAGAACTAAAATAAAGTGCTAAAGGGAGACTCTGACAAATACCATGACAAAGCAGCTTTCACAGACTATGGTAGACCTTTTTTACATTATGTAATGCAAACAACAAGCATTTATAGGACAGCGCTACCAAAGGCACATATTTCTTTGCTGCAGAATCAGAATCAGTATCAAAATCTTTATTTACCAAGTACCAAGGAATTTCTAGAAGCCAAACTTTTGGAAGGCAGTTACTTGTTAAGCTGGTGTCTCTAGGCCAGGGGTGTCAAACTCAACCAGTAAAAGGGCCATATTAAAAAATCTCATCAAATCCTTGGGCCAGAGGAAAAATGTTTTTATTTCTTTTTTTATTAATGTTGTGCTATAACCCAAACTGACCATTGTTTATTCAAAATATGCAAAAACTTCAACAGTAAAATACAGGCACTTGTAGTAGACTTTGAGATGTAACATGGACACTTGAAATATTCAAAATTTAAATGTCCCCAGGAGCTCAGTCTTTTAAACCTACCTATTTGCTTGAACTAAATGCTTGGCATATTTTCTTTGCTCCAGGTTCATTAAGACTTGGGCTCAGTTTCTGAGCTGCTGAGCTGCCTTTAAGTGTTTATGTTGGTTGAATTGCAGCTAAAATGCATTTTGGTGATATGACTGGTGTGGAATTGTGTAGAATTGTGTAGAATTGAGGTGTAACTGCTGTCCCTTAGATTGTTGTTGGGGTAGAAGAGACTGAGAACATTACGTTGCAGTGCATGCTGGGGACTGTAGTGCAGCGCATTTTGAAACGGGGTAATAGTAATAGAAAATAAAATACTTTTGTGGGCCAGATAGGATTGTGTGGCGGGCCTGGTCTAGCCCGGGGGCCTTGTGTTTGACACATGGGCTCTAGGCAATTTCCCCAGGCTCCGCCTAGTGGTTGTCTGTGAAATCACAGCCATCAGTAATCATCAGCTGGTTCCTGTAGTAATGTTTTAGCCCACACTGCAACACCCAATATCCAGTACATTCCACACAGATACACTTGTAGACACACTACCTGGTTTGTGTTCCAGTCTCCATTAGTTGAGTTCATCAGTAAGGACAGTGTGTCGATTGTGGTGATGTTCCACTTGCTGATGTCACTAACAGTGGCCACACGAGATGTAGGGCCCAGTAGCTTCACTACACTTTCTGGAATGCCTGATGGGTAGAGCTGTAACAACACAGACACACCATCAACAACTCACAAACTAAAACTCAAAACATCTGTAAAGCTCACATGCAACCTTCCAACACAGTCAACAAATACATACCAACATACACAAAACCTGCACTGCTACTACAGAAGGTCTTCAGTAATGCTGACCTGGTTTAATTTGCTCAGAATGACCATCTGCATGTCGTTGGCCACAACTTTCTCAGTGACAGCTGCCAGGTTGTCCTTCAGGACAGTGATGTCCATGCACATATCCAACTGAGTGGCATCGTAGTCAGCAGGAAATGAAGGATCTGCAATTTCTGCTCCCGTGATGTTGCGAACAGTGCACAGTTCTTCAGACACAGAATGAAAACAGGAATTATTCTTTTATTTACACCTGGTATTAACATATTTCTGCACAGCTCTACACAGGAACATGTTTGACACATCAAGGTGCAAACAATGTAAATGTACCCTTATAGGTACAACTATGGTTTTATGGTCCAGTTGTGTACCTTGAAGAGGTTTTCCAAAATAAAAGTATACTTTTATACCTTTTCACAGCCTGTCATTTTAAAACACAGTAGTAAGATAAAAAGCATGAAGATGAGCGGGTGTGTGGAGTCAAAACAACTTGAAAAATATCATTTCAATAGATTAAGGTACAATTATACAGGATGATTCAAAAAGATTCATCCAATTTCAAAGCGCCATATTTTTCCAACCGTGAGGTGCCGAGGAACCAATCACATATCAATTGAAAGAGGGGATCATAGAGTTTCTGACTGTCAGTGGAAAATGGCTCCCTTCAGTCTGAGTGGAGATGAGACCCCTGAGCAGAAAGCGTTCTGCGTTCTCCACTTCAATAAGAGTGAATCGCACTGAAAGAGCCGTGAGTGCGTTGATGTTGTCTGTACAGCTGGAGGAGGTTCATACTGAGACCTTGTACAATTACATAATAAACTTTATGCTCATTTAAACCATTTACAGTTCACTGCATTGATCTGTAATGATTTACAAGGGAAATAAATCATTTTGAAATCGGATTAATCTTTTTGAATCACCCTGTATTTTCTAACTAAATTACTGAGTTGTATCCTTGAGGGTTCTGCAAGAGGGGTACTGCCCCAGTGACAGTTTATTATCTTTTTCTCTAAGAATATATAGTGATTTAATCATAAGTGGATGACGCTAAATACAGTTGTGAATGAAGATGTGATGTGATACCATCACTCAGACCACCTTCTCACCGGGCTGTATGTAATATTTTTAAGCCGGTAGCACTGGCGCTATGCAAGTATTATGAAGATAAAGTGAAGTTGTCATTTTGCCTGTGAAGACAGCTTTGTATTTTAAGCAATTTGCTCTTTAATATTGGCTATGAGTGATCCGACCATAAGTGAACATTAAGTGGACACTAAGGCAAATAGCCATTTCTCCTTCCTCTCCTCTACTGTTACAGGTTGTGTTAGCACTCCATGCGATCTAAACATTCGGTAATCCTTTATTATTAAAATATTCTAATATTATAACATTGTTTAATGAACAGTTAACTGACTGTTCATAGCTGTGAACGAATGCTTAGTTAACCAAAATTTGACGTTGTACAAAGGACTATAGATTACAATTCACATAGTTGTTTATGTGTATATTCGTATTTCTAAATGCTCTACATGCTGTTTTTCTGTACATTTAAAACCAGTCTTTTCATTCATAAATGATGAGTTGTACAATATCAGTAGTGTATACAAATCATCATGGCGAATTACTGAGATGTATAGCTTTCTAATAGTGGCATAAGCTTTGTATTTTGTCCAGTATGTATATATGATGACAAAATATCTTATGGCTAATTAATTAGATGACTCATGTGAAAGTAACCACCTGTTAACAGGTATGTGCAAAATATGTATTCTTTAGTTATGGACCTTTTTGCAGTAGCTAAAGTAAAATGAAAACTGTTCATCATTAGTTCCTGTTTCTAAAATAAATGTGTGAAGCGCCTGTCATGTGACTTTTCACAAATGAACCCTAGCTCTTGCTCTTTCTGGGCTCATTTGGTGATGGTTCTCCAGCTGATCTGTGGAGTTTAGGAGGCAGAAAAACATGCCCAGGTTTTCACAACTGGGTTGAGAAAAAGAAGAGGTGGAGAGAGACTGCCAAACGAGTGCAAAGACTACCACAGAACGTTGCCACATTGCACATTAAATGCACTCCTTGCATATTTTCATATTACAGTGTGATTTGGGGATCAGATGCACTTTAGATTTCTCTATATGAATGGTCCAATTCGTAAAAATCTGCATAAAATTTCATACTTCATTCTGATTTGAATTATAACAGGCAAAAATAAGAAAAAGTAAATCCATGCAGAGAAAGTGAGGCTCTTCTGTGCAGGACTGTGTAAAGTCATCAGATTGCAGCAATGCTGAGATTTTCATTTCTGACTTTTTACTTCGTACTTACGTCTAAGTGGCGCTACCTCGTTTACAATGCTGTACAAGACAAAGGAAACTATTAAAAGATTGTTGTATATAGTTTCCACTTTAGCTACTGCATCAAGGTCTATAACTATATAACACATATTTTACAAACATTTGTTAGCAGGAGTTGGAACTTCACACATAAGTAATCTAAATACTTAGCCAAAAGATCTTCTGAAATCACAAGACACATACAGGACAAAATATAAAGCTTATATCATTATCAGAAAGTCATGCACTTCAGAAACTTATCATTTGTATACATGTACTGATGTAGCACAACTCATACATTATTAGTCAAGGGGTAAGTCATGTACAGTATTTATAAATATAAATACACACATCAACAACAATATGAACACATACATTTGCGCATTTTCATGTTTACTGCTATTAATGGTCAGATAATGATTCTTTAAACAAAGTTTTTATAATACCCTTTATCCAATAATGAAAGCTGATCATAAGCGTTCCATAGAGATGCATTTGAAACTCAGAGAAATAGAGGTCTGCGAAAAATGAAATTTAGTAGGGATTTTTTAGTCCTGCTTCTGAAAGACTTCATCCTTAAAATCAGCACTGCCCACATCCCAACTGTTTTATCCCATTCACGCCTGCAGGCCAACGCAACACATGGCTTTCCCTAAAATTTAGTGGAAAGCATTAATCCTTACATAAACAATACTGATGATAATAATAACACAGTGGATTTCACCACTTAAGCTACTAACTCCCCCCCTGCTCACTGCTGCATTGTTGCAGCCCAGTTTGAAGTGATCTTTGGCCCGCTACCAGTCTGCGGCCTGGTGGTTAGAAACGTCTGGTGTAACACGCTGATACCTGCTCCACGTTTGATTCTGGAGATGAAGTTGCACTCTGTAAAGAATCTCTTTTGCTTCCACATCGGGATCCTCTGCCCTCTAATGAATGGATTGAACGTCTTTTGAAATGCCTTTTTAACAGTCTGTGATGGACACACACAAAAGAAAAGGAATTGCACACCTTACCATCAGACAATGACCCTTTAGAAAATATTAACTAACGCAGAAGAAGGATAAAGCTGAAAAAAACAAAGAGAACACAAAATACATGAAAAAAAAACAGGTTTACGTACAGAATAAATTTTTCCCCAGAAATTTCGGTTGAAGTAAAGGGGCAGGATGCCCAACTTTTCCAGAGTCTCCTGATTCCATGTTGAGGGATTACTGAAGAAAACATACAATGTTTAAGACACCAACATACACAGCCTACATAACAGTACATCATACATATTCTACATCTGATTCACTACTGAGCCAAATCAGACTATCATAACAGATAACATGTTTAAATTGTTCCTTTTATCCAACATTATTCAAATTAATTATTGCACTTATACATTTCTTAGGAAATAAAGGGTTTGAAAAACTAACTTCATTAGTCTACCTTAATAACTGACCTATCAATACTGCACTAACAAATGTGTTCCTTTGTAGCTATTGTTGTGAGGTTGAACAAGCTTTACAGAGCACTGGCACAAATTTCATATAACCGTAGAATAAACATTTCACTGGCTTCAGCTCTTTTAACACTGCCATCTAGCTAAGGTCTTAGCACCGACTACTACTGTAGCATGGCTGAAGTTATTCTAATGAATTTTCCTCCATTTTTCCAATCATTTTGGCAGACGTTCTTATCCAGAGCGACTTACAATTTGCTCATTTTACAGGTAGGTGAAGGTAGTGTTAGGAGTCTTGCCCAAGGACTTTTATTGGTATAGTATAGGGTGCTTACCCAGGTGGGGGATCAATCATACCGCCATATATTACCACCATTAGGGCAAAACTAGAAAGTGCCTTGAACTGGTCACCAACCCTCCTTCCGGATCAGGTGGGGTCAATAAAGGTTGGAGCTAAAGTCTGCTGGGAGGTGATTTCTCAGGGACAAGGTTGGTGACCATTGGTCTATATCATATCAAATATTTCTGTGAGAGTGCTCAGATCCAAACAACAATTAATATAGTTCAGTGGTCACTAACCCTGCTAGAAAAGAATTTGTGGGTGGAAAGTTATGTACCACATTGTCCACTCAGTTTAAAATCTTTCTCACCCGTAAGGAGTGCTGCCGGTGAGGAGAAGATCCTGTACGGCAGCGGCCTGAGAGTCAGAAAGATCTCCACAGTTCTTCAGTTTCTCAAGGATGAATGGGTCAGAGTTCTTGATGTAGGAGGAGTCCAGTGTGCAGGCCATATTACCCAGAACCTCCACTTGATCCCTGGTCAGACCTACAGCAGATACACCCTACAAGAGCACAGACTATGTATAAGCATTGTGAGATTTCATTAATTGTTGTTGCTAGTGGATAGTTGTGGTAGTGTATTTTTATACCTGTTACAATGATAATTACAATGACTGGTGTGTACTGCACATGGTAAAGTTCATCAGGCTTATCACATTGTTTTTCCTGGATGCTACAGAGCTTACAAGCTTTATTATTTCTTCTCTTGTGCTCTGAGCAAGAGTTTAACCAGAAACCTACCTCTGTTAATTAATGCTTCTGACTGCTGTCAACAGTAAGTAAACATGAAAGATCTTTTTTTTTTGTATATAGACAGTTAGTAGGTCCAGGCATGCGAATGCTTTACCAGGCAGTCCCGTGCATTCCTGAACAAGACGGACTGTCTGTTGAGGACACTGGAAAGAACCGAGAAATCTGCTCCACCCAAAGCGCTGAAATACGACCTGCAGTTCACCCTCTGCACCTTCTCATAGCTACAATACACACAAAAATAATGGATAATTCAGATCAAGAATCAAAAGACGATGTATATATAAAAGATTGAGTTAAATTCAACAGCTGTAAGCTACTATGGTAGGTAAGTGTGTAAGAACAGGAAATCTGCCAACTTCACAAGCAAACCTCTCAAAGTCTACCTATCTAGTTAATAACTACACAGCTGGTAAAGCTAAACTACAGTAAAAATGAATAATCTGGTATACAGTGAAAACTGTGTGTGTTACGCACCTGTAGTAGAGAAGCATGTCACCAGGGAAATCACTAAAGCCCAGGGATGAATCATCCTTCACGTAGTTGTACATGCAGGTTAGCTGTGACACAGAACACACTCGATTACATCACTATTATGCGGTCATCTTGTTTCATTTGCTCACTTGTCGTGCAAGCAAACTACCCTGATAACAGATCATATTAGACACAGGAGTTTTATATGCCGCCACTGTGATAATTTTGGGTACACTCATTGGAAATCTGTTGGGAACCTCATACATCATACACTTTAAATGCTTGAAAATAAAAATACCTCACAGTACTAGGGCAATTTTCAAGAAAAACATCAACGGTCAGGTGACAAGTTAAAGGAAAAACCTATAGAAAGTAAGGTCTTGATAAAGCCAAGTAGCTTCAGTGCACCGTTGCATAGGCTCCACATGTGTCTGGAACTGCACTGATGGGATGAAACATTTCCCAAAATATATTCTCTCAGTTGGTGTTTTGTCAGTGGTGGTGGAGAATGCAGGCTAATACATCACTCCAAAATCTCCAATAGGTTCAACTGGGCTGAGATCTTTGAAGCCCATGGCATATGATTTACATCATTTTTATACTCATTAAACCATTCAGTGACCCCTCATGCCCAGTGGGTCAGAATAACTTTGTTTTGATTTCAAACCACACCTCAGCATAAGCCACCTCAGGAGCCACTGGACTCCTTCAATGTGGGGGTCAAGTATTTGGATCCGTACTGCTCTCTTGGTGTACAGTGAACAAGCGGATGACTCATCTGATCATATGACTTCTTTCCACATCTCTGTAGACCTGTACTGACCTCTCTGATGGTCATTTATTTTTGTTATGAAAGGTTTATTCTGTACCTTAATATCCCCTCTATGTAGTTGTTGACAGACTGTTATAGCAAACACAGCCTTATCATGTCCTGCATTAATGTTTTCCACCACAATTTCCAGCCCTGTTTCCTGATGTCACTTCCACAGATCTAACGCAGAGTTCACTTTAGTTTCATATCAAAATGCTCCATTATCTTCATCACTACTTTCCAAAACCACTGCAGCAACTTCAGCAGCTGTAAACTCTCTGCACGTTGACACATGAGTCTCCGATGTGGACTGAATGAAAAATGAAGGGTTTTCGGCATGATGGTCAGTCCTTAGTGATTTCCTGAATGTCCATTGGTCAGTTTCACACAGAATGTAGACGGACACACGAATCCACCAGTTCCACATGGTAAGAGGCAGATGACGTGTATCTCAGCCCCTCTTCATAGGCTCATGCGTGGGGGCAGTTGTGGGCTGGAGGTTAGGGAACCAGCCTTGTGACCGGATGGTCACCGGTTCGATCCCCTCGGCTGACAGTGCGTGACTGAAGTGCCCTTGAGCAAGGCACCCAACCCCCCAACTGCTCCCTGGGTGCTGTGGATAGGGCTGCCCACCGCTCCGGGCAAGTGTGCGCACTGCCCCCTAGTGTGTGTGTGCTCACTAGTGTGTATGTGGTGTTTCACTGCATGGGTGGGTTTAAATGTGGAGGTCTAATTCCGATGTGTTCAGACACAGTTGGCTAAAAGGTTCATTTCTTTCATTCATTCATAACTCCGGATGTGAGTCTCGTATGATCTCGTGATAAGATGGAATGGAAAGGGCGACTCTACAGATTCAGGAAGTGTTTGAACTGGATTTCTGAGCTGGATCATCATAAAGATACAGACACAGATTTAGAAACAGAGAATTTGACAAGCGGCCAGTTCGTGGACCCCAGAGGTTTAAAGTCTTCATCTTTTCCTCTTGTCATTTTGATCATAAATCTGGGCCTGTTCAGCATTTTATGCTCAAAATTTTATGCTACTTAGGCTTTTACTTTAGTTTATGATCCATCTGTATATCCATCAGTGCAGAAGAAATCCACTCCTTTGTGTATTTTTTGTGCAAGCAAAAGCTGCAATCACACCAGACATTTGCAGTTCATACAATTACCAACAAAAACACCTCCATTTTGATGCAATAAGCAAGCTAGGCATGTCAATAACCATATACAGTAATTACACAAAAGTGAACATACTTAAATCACAATTTTCTGTTGAGAGTATAGTGCTGCACATTGACTTGTAGCAACAAAAAAATGCTGATTTTGTTTCATATGTACTTTTTTGTACCTGAGACTCTTTCAGGATGACCTTGTTCCTGCCAGCACGTGGTCTACAGGCTTTCACCAGCTGTTTGACCTTCAGCTGTGACAGAGTCCGAACAGAAGTGCAGGTGAATCCCTGCAGTATCGACTCTGACAGCCTGCAGGGGGAGACACACACACATTTAACACCTGAACACCTGTATTTTCAAAACGACAAAGACATGCAAATATCCTGTGTGATGTAACTCACTCTTCTGTATTGTCACTATTACTGGCCACTGTTTCAAATAACACTGCAGCCTAGTGAAAAAGAAAGGAATAATTTAAGTATGTAAACATTTACATTTTACATACTATTCATTACACAACATCATTGGACCATCCGTTAGCGTGTGAATACAACGATCACTAAAACTGCTTTGTGAGTGGGTGGGCTCTCTTACCTGTTCTTGTCTCCAGCTCTTCTTGTTGATGATTGACACATCAACGGTGGCTGACGACGTCAGTAGCACAGGTGGTATGTACACCGCCAACGCATCCGGAACATTCTCCACCACTTTAGTTTTGTCTGCAGAAACAATCTGGAAGACAGGGTGAGAACAGAATTTCTGATTTGCCAAAATTCTCCATAAAGCTGGATTTTGTTCTGCCGTGAACCTCTTTAAGGACCTTTATTTTCATATGGACATATGTTTTATACCATATAAGAGTGGTCAGGTGCTCTAGAACGTGTTACCTTCTGGACGTATGTCTCTTGCACAACCTCTGGTGCTGACTTTATGTTGTTGATAAATGTTGGATTCTTGGACACAGACAGAAGCTCAGAGGAAGAGATGTTGGAGATGGTTGCTGAGGGAACACCTCCGATAAGTGTACCCAGGGTCACCAGGGAAGAACCACTATTGATCTGTCAATCGAGACACCATCTAATTAGAATACTAATTTTAAAAAATGCATACATCAAATATACAAATAAATTAAAAGAAACATTTATGTAGAATATACAACACAATCTAAATACTGAGATTTTTTGTCTTCGCTTGTTTTTTTCTCCTGCTGTGCTTGAGTGTTTTTACTGATGTCTTTTTTTTCTCCATAGATCTATGCAAAGCTCAACTTAGTTACTGTTCCTGTTGAAACACTCGGCAGTCTAAAGCTGTGGCATATGGTACAGCTAAAGCTCCTGCGTCCTGTTTCCATGTCCAAATAATGAACCAGTAGTAGACTGTGTAAAGCAGCCTCCAAGAAGCCAACCTAAATCTAAACACATTTCTAATAATAAAATGGAGTGAAAGTTGAGGTAGAGGAAAAAACATCTACATTCTGATTTCTTGCTTACACAAATCTTTTATTTCCAAGCTCTCAAAGGAAGTAACTAAATGCACTGTCATCTTTTTATGGAAGGCAAGCATCAGCATCTGATCCACCATTTTCTCTTTCCTCTTGAACCTTCTTCCTTATCTCCACCCTCTTCGTTTTACCCCAGAGGATTGTGTCACCTTCTTTGAAGAGAAGCAACAGGTCTCCTGCATCCCTTCATCACCTTCATCATGAACAGCCTCTTATCATCAGGTAACACGATACTGTTTTGTGGTTAAACAACCACAACGTGTCCAGGCTCCTCATAAACCGACTCTGGTAGTGCTGCATTAACACTTAGATAACTACTATTAACTACGAAGGACTTCTAATTAATTACTCAGTAGGCAATTCTGAAGTAATGATTAGGGTAGTTGACTATTAACTAAACCATAACTACTATCATAGAGAATTGCCAAGTAACTATGACTTCTTAGAATAACTACTTATGAAATACTGATCAATTCAACATTAATTGCTCAATAGCTGAGTCTTACAAGGTGTATTCCAACACTACAGGTACTGAAATACTCTATACAGTGTACAGTTGTTTTGATCAACAACCTTAAATGGTTAATGCACATCTTCATATTTGACAGTGTAAACCAATTTACACATCAGCCTACAAATGGGACAACTGTTAAAATACCACAATATTCAGGTGACAGTCTGATTATCTGTCATCTTTGAGAGGTGTGGTATCTTCTGAAATTACTCAGGTAATTTGAGTTTAAGGCCACTGCTCTACATGTTTTATTTTGATAAATGTGTAATTGATCTTTCCATGACGGCTTAACTGAGCAGACTGGAATGTTTTCATTTAATAATAAAAATGCATGTATGTTGTTTGGCTAATATTTTGTTGACTTTAGGTAATGATTCTGAATATGTTTTAGAGAAGGAGGAACGGAGAATAATCTTACCTTCAATTATGTCCAAAAGTTACAAGCAAAATTGGACTGAAACTATAATATAATCATAACTCAAAATGTTTTCAAACTTTATATTACTTAATGTCATATTTCACAAAACGTTATAATTATAATGTCATTTATTAGTTAGTACACTTAATGATAAGGAACCAAAAATTTTAGCGTTTCTTCTCTTTTTTCTTTTTAAGTTCAGAAAAAAATCTTAAACTGGTCTTGGCTTCCCTGCTGGAAAATGACCATTAGAAATCATTAGGATTAAAACCTAAAACGGTTTTGCTTTCTGATGGGAATTGGCTTCCAAAAGATACCACCAGTTTCCTGTAGAACACCTTTAGGTCCCATTAAGAAACCATCAAATGCATTTAGAATAAACCATTAGTCACCTGTTAAACCATTAGGATCCTTTACACTGTGATATCAGCCCATTAGAAAAGCCAACACACGTTACAAAAGCACCAAGAACCAGCAGAAACACTTAACAGGTTCTGTGGGTTTTTTTGTCTTGGTCTCACCACTCATATTATTATTATTATTATTATTATTAGTAGTAGTAGTAGTAGTAGTACTATTATTATTATAGCAGTATACTTACATTCATGAACATTTTGTGCTCTATTAAATTTAACATATTTACATTTAACCGTGAAATTGCACGGGACGTTTATTATGAAAGCATTGCCGTTTCTGTAGAGAGAGGGGTTCTTGTGAGTGCTGGGAGTGAAGAGCGGTTGATTCTGCGTTCTCACTTTTTCGGAATTGTATAATTCTGTTCATAGTTTTGTGCATACCGCTGTGTGATGAGTGGATCAGACCCCCGGGCCGCTGCTGTGAGACCCCTGAGGCAGAGAACGGACTGTTTTATTCGGACTCCAGCGCGACAGCACTCCTGCAGGGAGAGTTAGCTGACTCGCTAGCTAGTCTGAGGTAGGCACGGTGTTCTACGACGTCTGCTCCCCCGTGTTGTTTCAGAATAACACGCATGTTAGCGCTGCTTATGTTCTGTTACGGGTGCAGGCTAGCAGGTTAACTTAGCTAATGTGAGCTAAGCTAATGAGCAACAACACTTTGCGCCTCAGATATGAAACAGAACGATGTGTAATTAATGTACTAGCACTGGGGTCGCAACCCAAGGGTGAAGAAGAGCCATTTTGTCCTTTCAACAAAAATCTTAGCACTGTGGGAGCCACAACATTTAATGGCCATTTGAACATCTTGGCTGTAGCTAAATATGTCTCAGTACGTGCTGATGTGCTAGTACAGGCTAAATATACAATACAAATGAAAACGCAGACTCGTTTTTGTCTGCTTTTCCGCAAAAGTGGAGCGGTTTCTTGTAAAGTGACTCTCCTGGTTTGACTTTTTGCTAAACTGAAGTTAGCTTCTCATTCGCCTGCCTCTGGTTCGAATTTTCTCGTTCCACCTAAATTGTTCCGCACTTACTGGCGCCTCAGGCACCGTTTAAGGTGGAACAGGAAAATTCAAACGGGAAATCGACTTAATCTTTGCGACTTTTTGGTGTTTGACAGTTTCCAGTTTCCAAATTGTCGATGTTCGCCTTAAATCTCTCACGCTGCCGTTTCGTTAGCTACTAGCTAGGCGAGACTATTATCTGCATTGCTATGGTGACCAGCAGTCTGTGCTGATCTTCAGGGTTAAAGGGTGAATTAGCAGTTCTACATTAACTCCAGAGTTTAAGACCATTTATTGTTGAACTGTGTTGAACGATCAGCAGAGCTTTATTTTACTGTAAAGGAGGATTATTTTATTTTTACCTACTAATCTGATTCTGCTGTGGAGCCACAACAGGGCAGCAAAAGAGCTGCATGTGGCTCCAGAGGTGCATGTTGCCGTCCCCTGAACTATCAAAACATATTGTGGTCATTCTCAGCTCTCAGACATTTCTCTTTTAGTGATAATGTCAGATGTTGACTCATTTTGTTTGCGTTGTTTATTAGTAATGAGTTAATGTGTTTCACTTTATAAAGTTCCAGAAGATCTTTAACTCCTTACAGAGTTAAAGCAACACCTCGTTCCTTGTCAATGTCTCTGATAGTAATTATAAAATTACTTGGTAATATTAGAACCATCTGTGAGCCATCTCTTCAATTGACCTTGCCCTTAAGAAGACTTTAAAGGATAACTACTGCTCCGAAGAAACAACACATGCACACATACTCCTGTAGAAAACCTGTAAGGTAAACAGAATGGTCTGCTGTCCCATTTGTAGGTCCCCTTTTGCTCAGCTGTTCAGCAGTTAATGTTGAATTGATAAGTAATTCATTAGTATTCTAAGAAGTCATACTTACTAAGTAATTCTCTGTGACATTCCAGTTATTGTTTAGTTAATTGTGAACTGCCCAAATCATTACTTCACTATTACCTACTAAGTAAATAACTAATAGTACATTGTTGTTAATAGTAATTACATACGTGTTAATGCAGCACTACTCATTCATCCCTGCTTAGTTCCTGAATAGTTACCTACTAACTATGACACAGTATTGTAAGGTGTTTCCTTCAAGCCTGACAATCCCAAAGAAGCCCATGATGGTCAGCTTTGACATCAGCAGCTACTGACCAGTATCACTTTTTTTTCCTATCTAAAATTGTCAACCATGCTGTATATTTTAGTTGTCTCTCTTTCTCACTCTAGTATTCCAACCACTCTAGCTTCAAACTGGCCCAATCTACAGAAACTGCCCTTGTAGCAGTGATGGAGATGCTCCATGCAGACAAGATCAGCCAAACTGTCTCCTGGTCCTGATTCTTCTTGGCCTCTTTAAGCTTTTAACATAGTCAGCAACAAGATTTTCCTTTTCTATCCTCATTAACAGTTGAAATTAATGGCTCTGCATGGTTCTATTCCTATCTGGAGGGTTGTTCTTGGCAGATAACATGAAGAGGATCCACCAGTTATTGTCCTCAGCTCATGTTGCAAACCTTACTTGGTCATGCAGGGTTCTCCTTTACAAAAACCTGAGGATTCGACCACAACTTTACAGAGAGGCCACCCAGGTGTTTGTTCAGTCCTTTGTCATCTCAAGACAAAATGCTCCAGCTTAGGAGACTAGATGCAGACGCAGGTGAAGTCTTTAGGTCTTAGATAGCTAACTGCATTAAGCATTGCAGTATGTTTACAGCCTTAACCTTGACATCACATTTCATCATGTTTTCTGATTGTGAATCTGATCTTAGATCCCAGATGAACATAGCATGACCTTGTAGTTTGACTGTGGATTGAGTTTGGAGGTCAGGGGTGCTGTAATCTACCTGATCGACAAAACTTGCTCCCACAAAGAACAATTTGAGTGATACTTTTTCACTTTTTAAGTACCTTTAACACCATCCAGCCACCACGTCTGATGGACAAGCTTCAGGGCCCTGAACTACAGACTACCTGACCTGCAGGCCACCGTGTATGCGGCTACGGAACTGAGCATGTCTGAGCAGACTGTGAGCATACAGGCACTGTACAGGAGACTCCTCTTGCTCTCATTTCTTTCTGCTGTATGTACAACTCTGAGGCGTATTACCTGCAAATGGTCTTCAGTGATGCTGCACCTGCAAAGTTTATTGGTAAGGGGAGGTTGGGGGAACATTTTCATTGTAGTCAAATTTTCTAAAGCAGAACCCCCAGACCTCCCACTTTGTTTGTGCTCCTGTTAATCATGAACACTTGTAGCCTGATGTTCAAGTCAGTGTCCCAGGACCTGTTCTCCTTCATCATAAACAGACCCTGGACCCTATGCTTGACTCCTCCAACATCAACAGGTACATTCTGGCATCTCTCCTTACTAAATCCTTTAAAACATTAAAATCTACAATCAGTTGTGTCTTTTTTCTCGCAGAGAACCAGAGAATTCACTATCCCAGACAGCCTGCCTTTGAATCAATGCATTATATGGAAACTGCCCCAGTTCACTTTTGTAACCACAACAAATCACTTTTGTAACCATAAATATAAATGAAATGACATAACTGTAGCATGTAGTGTACACTCACGTTAAAGCCCCCACTAATGAGGTTCTGGACGATATTGTTGACCTGACCCTGGTTCCACCCTGTGATGACGCTGAGAGTGGGCAGGGTACTGTTAATAACATCAGGAGAAGCGGAGCTTAACTGGCCCTCAGTCAGACCAATGCTCTGGTTGCCAAGCGTCTGGATTGTAGTTGTGGATATAGTGGGAAATTTTGTGGCTAGCACTGCTGCAACCTGAGAAAAAAAGTAGAAAATCATAGAGTTATGAATGATGTGGGAACTGAAATTTCATGATATTGTCATTTGAATTGTAATAAGATTGGCTCAGTTGATTCATTGCCTGTGGATCAATTCTGCTGCAGAATTTGTTGATGCGCTCCAGGATGGCCTTGCTGTCATTAACCCCAACAGACCCAAATGCAGAGGCAGGAGCTCCACACAAGAGCACCGTTGGCAGTCTACGCACAAAAACACATTCAGATAATTACAGATATAGTTAGATAGATAGATAGATAGATAGATAGATAGATTTGTGTAGTGTTTTACCTGAGAGGGTTGTAGTTTGGATTTTGGATGTATATCTGCGTGCTGTAGTATGTAATGACATTGGCTGCAATTTGTGAGTTGTTAAACAGCTGCATATTCTCTGTGTTTTCCAGGAACACACCGATCTACAGGACACAATCAGACTCAGTAAGTTATAAGATGATTATCAGAGTAATTTAAGGTTTCTGAAGCCTGTCACACATGCACTTTTATCCACGTATTTACAGCCCCCTAGTGGAATGGCCACTAGGGGGCCTGCAGAAAGAGGTTAACTGTTTCTTGTTTTTTGAGATCTGTTTCACAAGCGAAAACATCATGTCATTGTGTTTGTTTGTGGCCACAAAAACAATGCAGTGTGGTCAGGAGAGCAAAATGTTTGTGTGACACATTTGCTTTTACATTTGAGTTTTCCATTTTTGGAAAAAGTCATGAGAGTGCAGTTTTGTATATGGTTTAGAAATGAAGATGTCCTGTTTAAAGGTAATTTCACTGTAGGTGCGAACAGGTGCATTCCCTTAAAATTACTATTAAGTAAAATATTACTTGTGAAAATAACCTCATAATGTTTTGGTTTAAGAGTCGAAAGTTCTTATTTGAGTGTGTTACCTGGCTGTCTGACACAAATGACTGGAGGTCAGTGAGGGTGATGAAGGTAATGAAGAATCCAATGTTGTTGGAAAACCAGGCAGTGGAGTTCAGAAGAGGATTGGAGGGGTTATAGCAGCGAGGAGTCCCATCTGCAAGATACCACAAAACACAGATGTATACTCTAGCAGTACAGAAGACATACAGTGAAAGAAAGAAAGAGAGAGAGAGAGATGTTGCTGTGCTTACCGCTGCTGTTCAGGTAAGCCTTTATAGAGCTGTACACATCAGCTGGACTGAAATCAGTGGCTGAGTAATTATAGTTGTTCCCCAGGATTGAAACCCTAATCATACATTGGTATTAGATTAGTATGTTTCACTGCAGAAATGAACTATTTTAGATAACAAAAATGTATTATTATTTTTGCAAACAGATTGGTTTAACACTGTACCAAACAAAGACTTACAGTTTTCTGTACGGCAGGCAGGAGGCGCCACTGAGCTGGGTGGGGCTGATGAGCTGAGAGCTGAGGAGGGGCAGGTACTGAGCCAGTCTGACATTAAACCACTGATCCACCTCATCCTGAGACGAGGCGCTGAGAGCACGAGACCAAACGCACCCCAACGTCTGTCTGCCCACAGCTGCAGAGACAACCGGCTCCTGCACAGAGAAACGGAGGAAAAAAATCAAGCAAAGTCACACTTGTGGCCAACAAATAATTGATTACTAAACAGTATTACTGTTGGCTTCAGTTACTGCATGCTTTGTTATGAGACCTTCCCCTGATTGGCGTCAGTTACTGCATGCTTTGTTATGAGACCTTCCCCTGATTGTGATTGGTATTAATCATTGTCTTGCTTGTTCGGAGACCTGCCCCTTTCTGCGATGCTGAGATGTCCAATGAGTATATCTTTAAGTATATTTTTAAAAATAGCGGTAAACGAAAGGTACATTTAGTTCTTTCACAGTTTAAAGCGTATTGCTGGCTGTAAAACATTCTCAGTATCTGGATCAGAAGTACCTAATGTTTCTTTTTTGTCTAATGTTCTTTGTTCTAGGAAAATAAGGCAAATCACCACTGAGCTTCTGAGTCGTCAAATATCAATTTGAACAATAAAATTTTCCTCTGAGAAGAGATACAAAGAGGAATGGAATAAGAAAAAAGACAGGTGTCGATTGTTGCATCAAGTATGGATTGTTGCATAAAACAAAACAAATGAGGAAAAGTATAAAGAAATAAGTAAAAAAGGCAGAATGAGACAGGTGAGATGAACAGGGGTGTACCTTCTCCAGGTACTGGTTGGTGCTGTTGTATTTGTTGAGGAGTGTGCAGAGATCTGACCCGTTCCTGACTGTGTTTGACCCATTCAGAAACTCACTCAGTTCTGCTGGAGAGATGGAGCCCAACAGCTACAGAACACAGAGGAGAGCAGAGAGCGGGACATGTGGATAAGTTCTCACCATTACTGACTGACTGGTTGACTTATTACTAACAGTATTACTGAGTTTTTAATTGACTGGTGCATTGACTGTATTCTTGATATATATAACTTGATCTGTATCACCTTACTACAACCAGTACCACTTATTCAATCAAATGGTTTCCATCTTCAAACACATGGTTAGCTATATAAGCTGAGGTTCTGCTTGATTGAACACATACTTTTTATGGATAATATTTGTGATCTCTGGACAACAATAATTAGAAGTGTTGGGGTAATTACTCAAAGAAGTCCATTACAATGTATTACACATTATTATTCACTTTTCTCAAACTGCAATGGGTTTACACTGTACAAGTAATCTCACCGCTCTATGCTATATTTCTTAGCCACTTTAAAACCCATATTATAAATATAACCCAATTATAATTATAATTAATTGTGGGTGTTTCTTATTTTTGTCTTAGAGACGTATAAGCAACTAGATTTTTTTTCATTGTAATTATTTTTATTGAAATTATTTTCTTTCATTACTGAAACACTTCACATTGTGCATATGTTAGCCCAAACATTGTTAATGATGGAGCTGACTCTACAGCTTTAAAGTCAGCAGTACCTCTTGCTGTCGGCTGACTGGGATGAGGGACAAAAAGGCACTCAGGTCAGGCAATCCAAAACTGAAGAACGAGTTCTTGAGGAAGACATAGAAGCTTCCTCCACCATAGCAACCCAAACCATTCGGTCCTGTGGAGCATAAAACAGCCACAAAACAGTCTAAACACTGTGTATTTAAATGTTTAAATTTACATTATGTGAGCATGAGAGTGTGCATGTTATACCAGTGAGGAGTTGCAGGATGTTGCTGAAGATTTGGGTCTGTGTGTCGTTGTTGAAAGATGATCTCAGGGAGTCCAAATTGCTCACTCTGTTACAGCACAGGAAGAGGTTCATCACAGTCATTCTACACAATGCTAAACACCTGAGCTCTAAACAATCAGCAGAAATGAAACACTGCATTTAAATCTGCCAAATCCAGATATGGTATTTTAAGATTTTCTTACGCTGCCTGGCTGATGTTGCAGCTTCTGCCTCTGATGATGTTGAAGTATGGTGTTACATCTACAGAGGAGAGGCTGGAGAGGAGGGGCCTGAGCCGAACATTCACCCACTGCAACACTTCTGAATCAGGCACTGCTGCAGAGGACAGACCACCTCTCACAAGAACGGCCTGAAGGAAAGCTTCCTTCACCTCACTGGAGTACAGTGACGCATTCCGCTGTGACAATGAGATTTCACCACACATTCAGGGAGAAGAGATTAGATTTACATAAAAGACAGCATTAACTGAAGCCCAGTCTACAAGTTGACAGCTTCTTGACTACACATCTTGTAGTGTGTCACCCCTTTGGCCTTAAAAACAGCATGAATTACCCTGGGCATGGATATGTTCTGAAGGAATGTTGCACACATGGAAATTATTGTGTTGAGCAGTTGCAGCAAAAAAGACATCTGTGATCCACCCTTTGCCCTGCATCCTAAAGGTGATTGACAGGATTGAAATCTGGGGAGTGCATGCCACTGAAAAAATGGAAATGAAAATAGATACATGTCTTGTGATGCAGTGCATCATCATGCTAGAAGTGATCAAGTTTGGATAAAATGTAGCCATGAAGGGATGAACTTGGCCAGCCAGATGGTCAGATGCACTGCAACTGCTGTAGCCGATTCAAGACGTTCTCATGTGGTCATTTCTCAGATGACATTCTGCACACCGAGGTTAAATTGGGATGGAATTTGACTGGTTATGACCCATCTGTTTCCTTGCATGATTCTTGCCATTCTCCTTTGACCTATCTGTCCCACCAGGGTCCATCTGCAGGATCTCTTATCACTGGTAGTTTTTTTGCCTTTTACAGCATTCTTGTCAAACTCTTAATTGGGTTGTGCGCAAAAAAAACAGGATGATATCATTCTAGAACTTGCATGCCTATCACCAACCTAAAGAAAACGGAACAACTTAACAAATAAACTATAATGACTTAGTGGATTATGAATGAGTGATGGTCTACTGCTGAGTATGCGTTATCCATACAGTTATTAATATGACTTCCAGGAAAAAGTACAATACTTCTGTACTTTATGGCAGAAATACTCTTGATAAAATACTACTTCAGAAAACATACAAATATTCTATCTATACTTCTACATGAGTAAAATGACAGTGATACTTCTTTTTGAATGTATTTAGTCATCAAAAGTACAAGAAGTCTGAATTTTGGCTAGATTATTCTGATGAATAAGTTTTATTAAGAAAACAGGACTGCAGATATGACTTAGCTGTCTTTTGTGCAGCATTTTGTAATAATAAAATTATGAATGTGATTTCTAACACAACAAATTCAAAAGTACCTGGATGTTGGGAGTGAGGATGTCAAAGAAGGCGGCAAACTGGTCCGGCTTAACAGCCGACATCACTCTGTTTACATCCTGAGGGCCATGGAGACTAGAAGGAATAGAGCAAAGTTCTGCTAGCTGTGACAGAGTTAGAACCTCTGCTGCATTCACCTGAAAGAATGAGATAGAGAAAAAGTGGGAAACAGAGAGAGAGTGAGACTAGCTACATTTAGTCACTGTCAATAACAATCCAGAAATTCTCCCTCTAATTATGTGTATATGCTACTGTATTTGTATCCATCCTCTCATTACTGTGTTCACTTATGTCTAGTCATTATGATGCCTATGTAAGTATTACATGCGTTGTGCTTATTTGATTGGTTATTGCTACATACATTTATGTGTAGTTCCCAAGTTCTTAGTGCATTTTTGTAGTTTTATTTTGCAAGGCAAGATCGCTGTTGCTTAACTTGTTACTTTAAAATTTCATTTGGTTTCACTAAGCTATTCTCTAAACACAACATAGCCTCAACAATTATATAAATGGAGACTGAGAAAACAAATGTCAGAGAGGGGGACTTACCCCAGAAAAGTTGAATTGTGTTAGCTGAGATAAGGACACATAGCTGGAGAAGTGGCCGAGGTTAGCGGAGAGCCAGTCTGCGTCCGTCTGGTTGCTCACTCTGCAAGCTGCATGATATCAGGAGGACAAGTTAATACTGTTTCATGAAAGCAAGAAAATGAAGAAATAACAAATGAGAAATAAGTGTTAATTATTGACTGTGTAGAAGTGTTACTGTACTGACAACAAATGTACCTGGTTGGGTAATTTGTTGTATGGATTTCTGTAGATGTGCCACCAGAACAGCTGCAAATTCCTGTTTTCTATTATCTGGCATGTTCACAGAAACATTGCTTAATGCCTCAACTCTGAAAAGGAATATAAG